TAAAAACATCATGCCAGTATTCTAGACAATTATTTACCATCTATATTTAAAAACCTTGTATCATCAGAGACAAAGCACATAAAAGTAAACTTGTTTCTAGTCTACCTAATTTCATAAAATCATATGGAAAGACTAAAGAAAGTAACTTATTAGCTCATCTGTCAGCCCAAATGTAATTACAATTTTTTATAAAAACAGAAAACTCAATCATAAAATGTATACCTGTTTAAATTAAAATGCCAGTCGTGAAAGCTTTAACATCAAGACATAAAAGAAAAGCTTGCAAATTCAATGTGAAGTGCTTGAAATGAAAGCTATAGTTCAAAAATTTGTATTTATAAGAGACTAGTATCATGTCACTGCAATACTTCCCATGGCTTTGGCACTGACATTAAAAAAAAAGATTTGAGTCTTTTGGTCACTTGAAGCTGCTACTAAATACAACAATAAGCCTTTAAAAAAGAGGGGAAAAGACAGTGAGGAACTGAGTGATCATTAAGATAACTACATCATATACAAGTAAAACATAGTTTGAAATAACCAGTCATTTTCTGCAAGGGATCCAAAGACATAAGAACAGTTTCCCACCATCCCTTCCTTTCTGAAAAGGATCTTCTAATCAGAAATAATTCCTTTAAGTTACTGTGAGTGGTGTTGCTTGGCAGCAGCTTCAATTTCCTAGGCTAGTGTTCAATCCAGTATTAAGTAGTCTCACAAGGAATAATCATACATGGTAACAGGGTAAAAAAGCAGGGCAGTTCTTCCATGCACAAACATTTCATGAGAAAACCATCAATTCTAAAGATAACCACCAGGTTTCAGGTATCCTAGCACACTCCGAACCCTAAGTTTTGCTTTACACCACTGGTGACTACAATTAGTAAGTTTTGCAGTGAGGTTTTTTTTGTTTTGCCTGCAACTATATACACATTGCAAAACTATTCTGCATCACATGATTTTAAATGAAATAAATATAAAAATGAACCACACAATCAACACACAACTTTAATACTCCACATTTATCTTGATCACAGTGGTGGTGACCTCCTTGTCAACAATCTTGTGAGTTGAGGAGTTGATTCTCATTCTCATATCCATCAGGCAGATAAGCTCTTCTCAGCTGGTCTGACTTAGGTATGGAGCCTCCATTCTTCACATGACGAGACAGGAAAGCACGGACTGCTGGGTGATCAGCCTTCTCAAGCGGGATGTTAGCTTCCAGGCACATTTTCACAAAGTCCTGGATAACACTGACTTTCTCTGTTTGCGCAGTACTGTTGCACTGAAGCGATGCAGTTAGAGGCCTCTGCTTCTTTCTCACATTCTGCTCCTCAAATTCTGCCTTCCTCTTGGTATGAGTTTTTGATTTGAGGTGGTCACTAATGGCAGACTTGCGAACATGATTCAGAACCACATTGCAAGAAGTGCAGAAGAGTTTTCCTCCGTCTTCGTGCAGCTCACCTCCAAACTCAGTGACTCGATCCAGAGGAGTCACATACAAAGCAGTCTTAGAACGGTTTCGAGCAGGTGGTGCTGTCACTACAAATCTTTCCATTCTGACTTTGAATAAGGTTCTTTCAAGAAAGAGAAACAAAGTAAGTGTTATAAGGACAGTTCATCAGGAAGTAATTGACAATAAAAAAGGCAGGTGAAAACAAATCCTACCATTTGCAACAACATGGAAGAAGCTAGAGGGTACTATGCTCAGTGAAATAAGCCAAGGCGGAGAAAGATAAGAACCAAATGATTTCACTCATGTGTGTAGTATAAGAACAAAAAAAACTGAAGGAACAAAACAGCAGCAGAATCACAGAACCCAAGAATGGCCTAATAGTTACCAAAGGGAAAGGGACTGGGGAGGATGGGTGGGAAGGCACGGGGAGGGCTGTGCAACACAGAGAAGACAAGTAGTGATTCTACAGCATCTTACTGTGCTGGATGGACAGTGACTGTAATGGGGTTTGTGGGGGGGACTTGGTGAAGGGGGGAACCTAGTAAACATAATGTTCTTCAAAACAAACAAACAAACAAACAAACAATAAAATAAAATAAAAGGCAGGTATAAACATTTTAAGATTGAAAACTTAATTCAAATCAATAGACTATGCGTCCATTAAGCCAACTTACCTGAAATATGTAAGGGAAGGCAAAACCACAGCAACTCACTAGTAACTAGGTCCACTCCTTGACTGATGAAATTCAAATAAATTATAACTATGATAAAAAGAACTCCAACTATCCCTGATGTCACTATCTTTTAGGAAAACCTAATCACAGGGCAATATTTATGGTACTAATTATTTTAATCTCATCCAATTTAGGCACATATGTAAGTTTAAAAAGAGTTTCCTTCCATTCACATTTCTGGGGCAACTTATTTTAGGAACACAATTGTAGGGAATTGTATGCAAAGTTTGTTCAAACAGGTGGGCCACTAAACTGGCATAATTCTAAATGAAGATATATATAATTTCCAAAATTGTTCTGAGAAGAATAAAAGTAAAAATCAAGAAAGAACACAGACCAAAAGGCAATTAACAGCAGCTATGACACTAAATTTTAAAGCCGAAATATAGAGCTCAAAATCATTTTTTAATGCATACATACCTGTTAAAGTTTTCCAAAAGGTGACAAGATATTCAGTATTTTTTTCTAACTTTTCTTTTTTCAATTAAAAGACTCATACATTTGTTAATATTTTTCACTTAACTTTTAAGTTAGAAAAATAAGATCACAGTGCTAGTATTTGACAGATACTCATCACAATTTGTTGATGTGAGCGTCTTTGTTATTTTTCCAAATAGTTAACTCAGAAGCAGCTTAATAATTTTCTCAATTTATCCTTATAACAAACTTCAATGATCACTGCCAAATCATGATGTAATGTGCACTGAAAATTTGAGGCCGTGTTGTTGGGCTAAGCTTTTAACACTAACTTAGATATAAGAAATTAAACTGAATTTGATAGAATTCGAGATGGAATTTTGTTTGGATAAATATGTTAGAGAAAAATTGCCAAATGTAGAAGAAATATGCTTTTCAAGTGTAATGAGAAACAACGGAGTTAATCCATACTAAAGAATTCATAGCTGGATAATATGAAGTCTCTCTCAAAACAACTTTAAACTGCCAATGTGTGAGACACTGAGACACCTATGGACAAAAACTCAGAGAAGGGTTTAACATTTCACAGAAATTCTATAAAGTAGAATAAGGTTTAGGTTTAACACTATTACTTTTCCATTAAAAATTTCTTTCATGCATGGCTCTCATGTGTCAAATATTTTGTTAGGTTATAGGTTTTCAATGGCAGAGCAGATAGGATTCTTGCTTAGTAAGTAATTACCATTACACATGATTGTACTTCAACTTACTGCTGTTTTATACTCCTATAGCTTATTGGTCCCAGTTATGATTAATGGTTCTAAGCTAGTTATTAAAAACATTAAATATGTGTCCAGTACTGCCCAAATATTTCTATTTGAAGTTTTCTTCTTTAAATATTTGGATTTCAAACTTTAAAATAATAAACTTGTTCGTTATTCTTTGAAACATAAAATGCTCAATCACTTGTGGTAATGTGAAAGGCCTAAACACCCCTACGTCTTGTAACTTTCAAAAGTCTGTTTGTGTTACAGCAGAGGCAAATATTTCCCCAGTAGAGGATGCTCAAATTTACAGACAAGAACAAAAGTGTTTTCAATAGAGGGTAAAGATATTTTAAAGGATGAACTTCAAAAGTCAGGAGCAGGAATTAGTCAACAGAAGAGGAGCAAATCATTTACTAGATTAAAATAAAACTCATTAGAATTTTTCAAGTTTAAATGTTTACCGGATTAGTTTCCAGTTTTTTTCGTTATGATACTTAGAAAGGTCTCCAGCGCAAAAACAGAGACGCAGGAAATGTTGGCACTTTTCGTTTGTTCAAGCCCCGAGATGCCTTCAAATCAGTTTTTCAACAAGTGGTGGTGGAGAAATAGCTTCTGGGCTTGCACCCTGTTTTCCCTGCGGTGCCAGGAAGTCATGCCTTTACTGTGAAACACGAAAAACAAATGGAAAGAAAAAAATGGGGGAGGGGGAGAGAGAGAGAAGGGTGGGTAAAAAAATGCACAAGAACATCAACAGCCACCACACAGGTGTCTTCAAATCCGCTCTCTTTTGGTAACTACCCACAAAATCTGTATCCCAACCTTCACCCCAGCACACCTTAATCCAGTCCCTTCTCAGCTGTCCGCCCCGCTTTGAACCTTCTCCCGCGACCCAGGCCCCAAGGTTCGGGAGGAGGGAAAGGCGGGGCGCAGGACGTTCCGGCGTCTAGACTCCCTCCTCCCGCGCTGAGCCCAGCACGCCGGCGCCCCACCGCCTCTGCCCCGCTAACTGGGCAGGGCCGAGACCCGCAGCCGGCCCCGGGAACTCAACAGCCGAGTTGGCGGCAGTCTCAGGGGAGGAGGCGGCCGCTGTCAGGCTTCCCGTCTCCTCCCTCTTCCTCCCGTAGACTACTGCACCCCGGCCCCGCCCCCGGAGCCCGCTTCGGGACGGAAGGCCCGGGCCCAAAGCCCACACCAACGGCCGGGCCCACCCTTGGCTTCCCTAGCTCCTCGGTACCGTAGGATCGGGGCCGCAGCTAGGGAAGTGGACGAGACCCGGCCGGAAAGGAAAGGAGGAAAAAAAGGAGCAGCAAGAGAGTGAAGGAGTGGGAGAACCGGTCGCCGTCGCCGCCGTCGCCGCAGTCGCCCGATTGAGCCCCGCGGCGGCCGCCGTGTCCCCCGCCGCGCCCCGTCCTTCTGCACCGCCTACGGCAAGACTCGTAGGCGTTCCCAGCAACCGCCGAGCAGCTTTAGCCAACAGACTTCGGGTCTCTTTAAGAGACAGCCAATTTAACCAATGGAAGTGGAAGGGCGGGTATGTGTATGATTGGCGGCTAGAGCTTTCCAACGAAAACTGGGGGCGTGGGTGGGCGGAGCCGGAAGTAGAGCCAGCAGAGAGGCCCCTCTTCGGCTGGGGTGGAGGGAAGGGGGAGGGAACTAGAGGAGGAGGAGGTTAGCCAAGGCAGCTACAGCGGCGGCGGCGCAGGGGCTGGTACGCGCTGGGCGGCGAGAGCCTCATGGCGGAGGAAGAGAGCGACCAAGAGGCCGAACGCCTCGGAGAAGAGCTCGGGGCCATTGTGGAGTCCCCTCCAGGCTCTGCGGGGCTTGGAGCTGCGGACCACGGCAGAGGCGGCGCTGGCGGTGGCAGCTGCGGTATCGGCGGCTTTGGGATCAGCAGTCGGGATTACTGCCGACGCTTCTGTCAGGTGAGGCGCCTGTCGGCCGCCCGGACTTGTCACCCTGGACCTGGGCCTCCCTGCGTCTCTTGCCCTTCTGGTCCTCGAATCAAGGCTGTGTCCGTTGCTCGCTGCAGCAGCCCCACAGGGAGAGTGAGGGTGAAGCTGCCCCCTCCATCCATCCTGCTTTGGGTGGGGGGTGGGGGGCGGGGAGCGGGACCCACGGGTTTAGGGTTGCTGAGAAAGTGAGAGTTTGTCGGGGGTGGAGGGAAGGAAGGTCAGCCGGCCGGGAAGCTCTGTACTGACATGCCTTCCTTGCCCCGAACAGACCCTTCTTTGCCGGAGGGTCCCGCCTTCTTGTGTTTCCTACCCTGTCCCTGCTCACCTCATTTGGAATCTCTGGCAACATTTCCTGCCTTCTCTTCTCCGCCCCTTGCCCCCTGTGTTCTCCCCTTTTTCGGGTACGGGAGGCAGGCGATCTCTCTACCGCCCCCTCTCCTGTCATCGCCACCCCTCCTCCTCTGCTAGGGTCTCCTGTCATCCCCTCACGAGATCCCGCTGGGTCAGTTCTCAGGTTGGCTTAGGCGTTGGCCCGAGGTGATTTAGTTACTTTTTTGGGGAGGTGGGGTTAAGGCAATGTGATTGTCATCTTTCCTTTTCTTATCCCCTTTTCTGGACACACACACAGTTTTATAATTAACTGCTAAAAGAGAAAGTAGTTTTCCTTAAACTACTGCTTCGGTTACATCACCACCCCCCTCATCTTTTAGATTTCATTGTATTTTATTTAGCCTGTAAAATACAGTGTCCGAATAGTAACAGTAAATCCTTTACTTGGTCGACTGCCACTACTATTTGATGTAGTTTAGTGTCTGACCATAATGAAATATTATAGCGCCAAAGTACTTGTCTAGGGATAAAATTTCTGTAATCTGTTTTTACATCTACATATATTTTTAGTTTAAACATTTTGTTCTCATTCATAACATTCTTGTTTTGCAAGCTGTTTCGGAAAATTTTTATTTCATTTCCACCCCATTCCTTTATTTATTATCCTGAATATGTAAGGTTCAGATCATGGCTCTGCTCCTTCCTATTGTGTTAATTTGGACAAGTTAATCTCCTTGTGTGCCTTAGTTTCCTATTCTGTCAAATAGGGATAGTAATTAAGTGAGTGAATATGCAAAGGGTTTGGATCCTTTAATGTTAATTAAAATATGCTGTTCATTTTATTCTGGTAAAAAGGATATAAAGTTAACAAAAAGTGGGCATCATGTTTGCTGAAATTTAATTTTATGCCTTTACAAACATTGAGAGAAAAAAGGTGGTGTTGACATTTTCAGGTAAGTTTTTAGTACTTTAAACTGTCTTTTGATTTCATACCCCACCCCCAACCCACAAAGATAAGTTGATTGGAAGGTTGGAAATTGCCTTGGTATAAAGAGTGTGCCAGTTTTCCTTGGCACTGCTGTTGAGAGACTTTATTGAAAATGTCTTCTTAATTTAGCATTCATTGCTTAGAGGTTCAGTATCTTTACAGTACTTCTAACTATATACTTGAACTATGTTACTGGTGCACTTTGTATCTTCAGGAATTTTAAACTTCTGAAAATCAGGTTACAGTTGATTGTTTTAATATGTTTATAGGCAGAAAGTTTGTGTGTGTGTGTGTGTTTTGCTTTTATATCATTAATGAGCAACTTGGTTTTGGTTACATTTAGCTTTGTTAATTTATTTGATCAGATAACCCTTAATTGCTGTAGACTTGGACATTTTATTTGAGGACCAGAGTATTTTTGGAGAACTATTCTTACTCTATTTCTTGAAATCAGTTTTAAGAACAAATGAATAAATTTTGTGTTAAATACACTTCTAAGTTATGTAAAGAACAAATGAAGTTGACTTTCATAAAACTACTACCAAACTCTCCAAGATAAAAGGAAACAGGAAGAACTTCATGAACTTATATTTTATATTGCTATATTATTAGTTGTTACATTACCATACTTTCATGTTTCCAACTTTTACCTGAAACCTCATTACATATTTTATATACTCTAGATGAATAATAGATCTTGTTCTTAGGGTTCCTGTCCTGGTTCCACCTTGCAGGTGAGCTTTGAGAAGTCTTTTTTTTGTGTGTTAAAACTTTTAAGATGGAATAAAAGATTGTATTAATTGGAATTTTATTCATTGACTAATAAAATTCTGTATAGTAGTTCAGTTTTATATATCAGCAAGGGAAGCAGTGGATTATATAATCTAATTCTCAAAGATTGTTTCTTTTTAATCATGAGGAATCCATGAAATGGGTAATATGCACTTGGGTGGGTGGCAGTTAACTAAATAATACGAATTATATATAGAGGCTTGTGGCATTAAGAAGAAAGACTCCAATTTATCTTCCTCATTGTAGAGAGAAATATGAAATAAAATTTCTTGGCAGTTAGTTGTGTGGGTGAAGGGGGAGAGGAAGAAATACTTCTTTTTAAGAGAGGTCCTTTTACCATAAGGAAAAGTAAAGCAGAAGATAATAGATAATGTGATAAATTATGCATACACTCAATGCATTTGATGATAAACTTTTCTGTTTGAGAAATGATACCGGTAATTATAGAATCTTAAACTAAGAGAATAGTCTCTTAAGCTTCAGTTGATTTTTGAGTTGATGGATTTGGGAGATTGGAAGTGCTGATTTCCAAACAGTTGTATGGTGTAACATTGGTCTACTGCCCCTTCACATCTCCATTGGCTCTTATTGGTAGACTCTCAACAAATGCTTAAGTAGAATTGGCTCTTAAATTATATTTAATTTGCTTTAAGGATAAAAGGAAGGGGAAGTAATTTTTATTGAGAGTCTACTAACTCTTAAGGCCTTCAGATAAGTCTTATCTAAGTTACATTATTGAAATAGATGTTTGAACAAGTTAAATTGTCTTCAGTTTTGGTGGTGGACAAGCTAGGATTTGAGCCCAGCTTTTTCCTACTAATTTCTACTGAAAGATTGAAATTACAAATAATCCTCAAATATTATAAAGTGAGGTGTTTATGTTTTTTGGCAAATTGTGGAAAGGGAAAAACAAAGTTACTGGAAGTACTCAGGGAATCATGGATGAAAAATTTTAAAAGTCCTCTTTCATTATGCCACAGTGTAAAAAGTATTTCAAGAAGCAGATAATTATTATTTTTTACACTTTCTAGTTGCTACAAACATTCCCCAAATCTTGAACGTTGTAATAATTCAACTTATTTTGTTCTTAGATAAATTGAAATGTTGTGATAATAAATTGATTAAATTAAGCAAGTTAAGGTATTTTCTTCTTAGTTCAGTGCCAGAATGAATATAGTACTATAGATAAATAAGTATATCTGGAAACACTTTGATATGTTGATTAAAATATAAAATGGTTTCTTCCTGCAGTGGGTTTTATAGCCATCCCATGAGGATGTCATGAGTATAAAATGAGGAAATGAGCATGAAGTGCTCAGTACTATACCTAGTACATAGGTAGGCTTAAATGGAAGCTATTAATATGTCTCTCATGTAAAATCCTCTGAAGGTTTAAGTGGGATATTAGAGATAATCTAATCTGTAGGTCACTTACAGTTTGTATCCCACAGTAAACTTTAGAGAAAACTTAGAAATGTTACAGTTCTAAAACTCTGTCATTTTGCTCTTGATTAATTACTAAATGATGTACCAAAATACGACATTTTCTCAGAGATTTTGTTTCCTGTAGGGGACATATGGTGATATCTAGAGTTGTTTTTGATTATTTTAATGGAGGAGGGGCAGATGCTGCTACTGGCATCTAGTGAAAAGAGGCTAGGGATACTGCTGAACATCCTACAGTACATAGGGCAGCCCCAACAACAAAGAATTATCTGGACCACAATATTAGTAGTGCAGAAGTTGAGACATTCCACTGTACTGTCACTTTGGAACTTGTAGTGGATACTTTGTAATGCTCATGCAAATGGCAAAAAAGTATTTGTTGGTCCTCAAATATATTTAAACAACTAATGTGTACTAGGTATCTTAATAGGCACTGAAGAGACAATCTAACAGAAAAACAAGTTTGCTTTAATATCTCTTACTTTGAGAGATAAAAATTTGTTTTAGGAAAATATAATCCTTGTCGCTTAGTCTTGGTATAGAATTTACATAGTATTTATGGTGCTTTGAGTAGTTCATTATGGTATAAGAATACATTTCTAACAATTCCTCCTATTAATTGGAATTATTTTTTAATTTACTTAAATTTTTATAAATTTTTACATGCACTTAAGTTTAAAAAGTCTTACACTGATGGACAGTGACTGCAATGTTGTATGGGAGGGGACTTGATAATATGGGTGAATGTAGTAACCACATTGTTTTTCATGTGAAACCTTCATAAGAGTATATATATCAATAATACCTTTAAAATAAATAAATAAAGTAAAACTAAAAAAAGTCTTACAAGACTTAAAATATCAGTAATTGTATTTTGCTGCTAAATAGAGACCTGACTTAAATAGCTTAAACAGTAGTAGTCATTTATTTCTTATGTGAAAAGTCTTGAATGGAGAGTGTAGGGATGATATGATGGCTTTATCATAATTGTACCATCATTGCCTACTCATTCTTATCAGTCGTCCTTGTCTTATCTCAATGTTGCCTCATGGTCCAAGATGGTTGGTGGAGTTCCAGCCACATCTGAGTTCCAAGTAGCAGGAACAGGGTCAGGGTATCTCTGGGGTATGCCAAAAACATCTTGTCCTAAATCCTACTCGATAACTTCCACTTTCATCTTGTTAGCTATCCCCATCTGAAAAACAAATGTTGAGAATTTTTTTTTTTTAACTATTTTTTCCCTGATAGACACATTTGACTGTTAGCTAAGGAAGGAATAAAACAAGAATAGATGTTATAGAGGCAACCAGTTTATTTTCCCATAGCTTATAATAAAGATTAGCAATCATAATCTGTCCGATTCCTTCCCTGAATATTCCCCAGAGGAAATAATTTGCAACTATTTTAGCTCTTATATTTACCTCCATAATATTAATAAGTTTATAATAAGTTTATTTTCCTAGTTGAAAATATGATCAGACAAGATTAGTTGAGGGAGGAGGTACAGAACTACCATCTCACTCTTCAGTGTGTACACTTTGATTCTACCCAATGTTTTACCTATATTCCCTTCCTCGCCTGTTCTATCTGAGTCTTATAGTTCAGCCTCTCCAGGAATTAGGAGTTTCACTGATCTAGTAGGGGAGGGAATCCGCAGGATAGTTTTAATTACCTTTCTGTGTTTGACTCTGCTTTCACCCCCCCTTTTAGAGGTATGAGGTGTTTCAGATTCTTAAGATTTTCTGGGGTTTTTGAGCACAAATCAGTTGTTCCTGAACTCCTTTCCTCCTTTCTAAATAACAGCTATTCAAATGTCATCTGCCCTCTTTCACTGTTTTCCTTCTTGTGGGATTTAGGCTTTTTTAAAATAAAAAATATTTTTACTGTTAACATTAATGGAGCTTTCTAATGGGAGCAGAAGTTAAATGTATGTTCAATCTGTCACATTTAAGTAGAAGTCTCAAATTAGTTTTTCAGCTCATAAAGAATAATAAATATGAAAGATGATTGAAAGGAAAGTATTTGGAGCTAAGTCATAGTGATTTATTTACTTTTGAAAAAGAGTATCCTACTTCCTGGTGTATTCTAAATATACAGCACTAGATTTAATTTCATCATATGAATTTATGTGTTCCTTTTGGAAAAATTATTTTTAGTACTAAATTGCAAATTCAAATTTTACCTTTTTAAAAACAGTTTTCTAAATTTGACACATTTGGTACATTTCCAGTGTTCATAAAAGGTGAATTCTCTGGGAAGGTATTAACTTATTTATCAGGAAAAACAACAAAATGAACCCTGTATCTTGATGGCTATATTTGAAAGGGAGCTGAATTTGTTGTTGTTATTGTTTAGTGCTTTTTTATGTTGACTTTCAGAATTGAATCATACTGATGTTATTCGTAATAGCAAATCATTGAAAATAACCTTAATGACCAAAGTTCAGGGAATTACTACACATAATGGAATCCTATGTTCTCCTCCTAACAGTCAAATTCTTAAAGAACATTTATTCATATGAGAAGCTGTTCATAGTATGACTACTGAGAAGACACAGGAGACATATGATTTCACTTTTGTAAATAAAAAAGACAAAAAAGTATACCAGTTACTAACAGTAAGTAATTTCTAAGTGATATGTTTATAGCTGAAATTTATTTTTTTACTTTTTAATTTTATTATATTTTATTAACCCTACTACCTTTAGAGTCATAGGAAAAGGAAGTGTAAAAAATACCTTTTATTTTTTTCTCTCTTTACCTCAGATTGCTTATTTCCTGTGAATAAATGCAAAATTATTTTGAGTATAATGACATTTAACTCCTTGTTTCCCCAAAAATACGTGAAATGCTTTAAAAAGAAAATGAATTGCTTAAGTGAACTTAACAAAGGCCTTTTTAAGTTAACCAATGAAATTCTAAACTTATGGAACTTCTTTATACACCATCTTGCATCAGATACATGTCCATTATTGCATTCTAATAACCATCCATCACATTTAGCTTAAAAAAAACTTCTCTCAATTTTAATTTTGTAGATAACATGTTAGGAGAAAATATTTTTAAATGTGGTTAATTGCTTTTAAGTGTTTTAATGATACTATCATTTTGCAATCTGCCAAACATAAGTCACCAGTTGTACTGTTATTATTGGCACTGAAACTTTGATTTTCCTGCCAAAAAGCTATACATTAACAATTACAAATAAAAGCAAAAAAGAGAACTTTAAGTTAAATTTAAGAAAGCTATGATAAAGTATGTGTCTGGTGAGGTATTTGGAAAATAAAATATGACCAATTGATACATCATTTTAAATGTATATTAATATGTAGTGGTAAAGATATCAGCCCATTTAAAATATAAGGTAATTATTTAACTAAATATTAATTTTTGTTCTATTGTAAATCGGTTAGAGTAGTACCTAGTCTTAAATTGGGGAGTATTTTTAAGTTTTGTAATTTCAGAAAAAATAACACAAAGAAACCTTGAGCTTTTATGTAATATATATCACATTGATTTCTTAGCTACCTATTTCTCTGACAGGTCAGCTCATCATTTCAGCAGTGTCCTCCATTCAGTATGGATATGTTCTCTGGTATGAGACCCCATCAGCATCATCTGGTTAGAGCCATAGTGGAACGCTGGTGGCAAACTAAATAGGAGGAGAAGGTGACCTGTATAACGTGTTATATAAGATCCTAAAGTGCACTACAGTACATTAACTCTGTACCAAGCATTCAATACCCCCCACTCTTCAAAGCAGTAGTGAATATGAAAACAGTTGAAAGACTTTCCATCCAAGCAGTAGAAAAAAGTCATTGATGTTAGTGTTGGAGCTTGGTTTTATAAGGCACTGGGCATATAGTGGTAATTAAACAGTGTGTACAGTTATAACTTTGATAAGTTGTATGAAGAAAAGGAATATAATACTATAAAATGGGGGCTAATAGGGAGGCTTGCCTATTTTTGGACTCCTGAGCAAGTTGAACTCTGCTGAGATTCTTTGGTTTAGTTTGAACATGTTGAATTTAAGGTGCCTTTTCTTACCCAAGGAGAGATCTTAAAAATAACTGTATTTACAGAATCCAGAGTTCAGAAGTGAGATCTGATTGTAGCCCTGTGGATGGTATTAAATACCATCCAAATGCTTCAAAGCCATGTGTATGAATGAGCTTGCATAAGGGAGATTATAATACAGAGTGGGAAAACAAGAGGACTTAGAAGTGAAGCTTCAGGAACTTCACAGTTAAATAGTGGTGGGAAAAGGTTGAGAATGAAGTTAAGTAGGATAAAAGAGGTTGGAGAAAACCAAGAAACTGATATAGAAGACAAGAGGACAATGTTTCAGGATGGACTGAATGGTGACTGGCATTGAAAGCTGTTGCGATCCAACCATTGAATTAAATGGAGGTTTTTGGTGACTTTAAGCAGAGCTATTTTGATCTGGTGATGGGAGCAGAAGTCAGACTGGAGTAGTTTCAGTGTGGGAGGAAAAGAAATATAGACAATAATTAAAGATAAATTATAAAGGAGAAGGGAAGATAGGTAGAAGCTGGAGAGGTTGTGGATTGAAGGTGAGGATTTAAAAAAAATTGATGAAAATTAGGCATGTTTAAAATCTGATGAGAATGATTCATTTGAAAGTAAGAGGTAAATCTACAAAAGAAAGAGGTTCAATTTATAAAATAAGATTCTGAGAAGAGAAGGAAGGACAAGATTCAAAGCACAAATAAAGGAGCTTTGGTTGGAGATTTAAAGGGAAGTAGAAGTCTAAAATGGTGGTTTCTTAGAGCAGTGGATTGAATTGATCTACAGAGCCATTTGAGCTTGCTTATTATAAATGTAGAATGGCCACTAGTCTATACTTTTGTACAGCAGTGTATATCTGTATAGGTGAAGGTATGGAGAATGTAATGAGTTATATTCATTCAGGGTTGTTATGTACTGTAATTGATCAGTGAATTAACTTTGAGAAAGAAGGTGACAAGCTCATTTTTTGACTCTATTTGTGGTAAAAACAAAGTACAGAAAAGTGAAAGGAGAAAAAGATAGAGAAGGAAGCCATATAGCCATACAGTAGTACCTCTTTATCCATTGTTCAGTTAGCTGCTGTCAACCACTGTGGGAAGCAGATGGTCCTCCCACTGGTCAGAAGGTCAGGAGTAGACTAATGCTATGTCATGATGCCTGTGTCATTCACCTTATTTCATCTAATCACCTAGGCATTTTACCATTTCACATCATTATAAGAAGGGTGAGTACAATACAATATTTTAAGAGACCATATCATGTAACATCTATTACAGTATATTGTTATAATTGTTCTGTTTTATTATTAGTTATTTTTAATCTCTTACTGTGCCTAAGTTTTATCACAGGTATTTATGTATAGGAAAAAAATAATGAAATGTATAGGATTCAGTATTATCAGAGGATTCAGGCATCCACTGCAGGTCTCAGAATGTATCCACTGAAGATAAAGGGGCACAACTTTAGATATTAATAGCTAGGTGTCCAACATTGCAACATGTATTGTGAAAATATGTGGGTGTATGTAATTTCCCATTAAAATGTGTACACAGTGTTATTAATACATCTTTGTATGAATAGAGTTTACTAAAATTAACTAGTATCTGTTTTGGTCACCTTAAATTTGAAATGTTTTAAATACTCAGCACTGTTCCCAATGAATTAGTATATCTGTGCTATGTTTTTAATATCTGGGAGATTTACTTGTTTTATTAGAATGCCCTGTGTATGTAAATAACTCGTATTTTGAGAGCTTTCCATGTGTCAGGTACTGTGATAAGTCCTTATCTGCTTTATCACTAATCCAGTACTCTTACAGGCTGTGTGGGATTGTTCTAATTTTACAGATCAGAAAACTAAGACCCCAGAGAGAGATTAAATAGCTTGACTAAGTCACTGTAGGTGGTATTTGATAGTCAGATTAGAATCTGGCCAGTCTGTCAAGAGCCTGGATACTTAGCCGTTCCAGAGTATACATACATTATTTTTCTATCTAGCAGTACACATTTGGTATTTGTTATAGCATCTGTGGGGTATGTATTTGATACATACTATAGCACAGTAAGGCAGCTATTGACTGAGTAGAAAAAGTGATTAAAAAAGACTCAAGGCAGTAGAAACTAAAGATGTTTATGAATATAAAAGAGAAAAAAAGTCAAGCTTAAACTATCAGAAGTTCCATGAAAGAAGTGATTTTCAACTGTTTTTTTCTCTTTAATCCACCTGAATGGGATATATTTTTCTCAAAAGCAGTGGCTTACTGTAGTGGTTATTCTTAAAATGCAAGAGTTATGATGATTACAAACCAGTAGAAGTTATTTTATGTTATAGTCTTGTGTTTTTTTTTTTTAGCCTTGTGTTTTGAAGGCAAGAGGGAATGGAATATGTTTTAGATATTTATCTTAAATGATTAGAGTTTAAAGTTTCAGTCTCTCCTTTTACTTAAATTTGACCTTGAATATATAGAAGTCTTATTAATCCAGAGCACAATGGATGTGCATTTTTAGACTTTATTGACTGTCTTTTTACCATGCTTTGATAGCTCTTGCCAAAGATTTCTCAGGTGGTAGAACTCATTAATAAATTCTAGAATTTGTATTGTATGCTTATGGTGAAATGGATATCACAGCTTTAGCTGGTGGGAATAAATATCACCATGGCCTTTCTGGGCCACAGTTAGTCAACATATATTAGATATGTTAAAAATAGCTTGTACCTTTTGACTTAGTTATTTTCCTTATAGCATTAATTTCTGAGGAAATGTAAATTTGGGCATAAAGCTATTCATCATAGCATTAATTAATGAAAAGAATGAATTAAAAATGGAAAGGCAACCAGAAAATCTAAAACAGTTGAAAACTTTTCAATCCTCATAAACTAAAATATTATACAGCCTTAAAAAATGTTTTCATTGACTATGTAATGACCTAGGAAAATAAAATGATAAATTAGAAAGCTTTGTTTGTAGCAGGATTACATAATTTGAATGTATGCTAATCAATTCTCACTGTACTCATGGATTTTAGAGGACAGTGCTATAAAGAAAAATCAAATGAGCTACTTGGAAACAGGATTTCTTGATGGTAATTCATAGGGGCTGTTCATATACTTTAGGAAATCTGTGAACTCTGAAATTATTTGCCAAAAGTTGCATTTGCATTTCCTTAGTGAGCAGGTGTAAGGTTTTTTTGTTTGTTTTAATCAGTTCTTTTAAGGATTTCAAAACTTGTTAAAAAATGAACACAACAACAATCCAAACACATGAAAAAGTTATGAATCTCTGCTGTAAACTATTGTTAACACAAGCACCAATGTTTATTTTATGAATAAAACTTTATTGGAGTATGCCCATTTATTTCTATATTTTCTGTAGCTGCTTTAATGGTACAATAGCAGGGTTGAGTAATTGGGATAGAGAATGTATGGCCCATAAGCTGCTTTCAGGCCCTTTAAGAAAAAATGTGTCAGCCCCTGTCCTAGATTCTCATTTCTTTGCCACAACCCTATGAGATAGGAACTATTTTTATCTTCATTTTATGAAAGATGCAGCAAAACTCAGAGAGGTTAAGCAACTAACCCAAGTCACACAGGTGGAAAAGGGAAATAAAACCAAGATGTTAATTGTGGTTATATGTGGGCAGTACAATGATGGATGATTTTTTTTCATTTACTATCTGAATTTACTACAGTGAGTGTATGTAACTTACAATCAAGAAGGGAGAAAATTGTAAAAGAAAGTCAGGTGTAGAATAGAGTTGTGTCTAACAGTACATAAGTAACTTTTTCTTAATATCAATTAATTGAATTATCTTTCATTTTTAGGCATAGATCTAGGTATATAAAGTATTGTAAGTAAAGGTGTTGTAGAAGGTGTCCCTGAAAGAAAAAAATTGGCTGTGTACCATATGAAAAGCTTAATTCTAATGATTATTATAGGGGATTTAAAGAGGAACAGGTCATAACTCCTGACCTCAAGGAATTGAATTTTCTATCTAGTCAAGAAGAACACACATAGCTGATAATGCTTCCACTGTTGTGACCTGGATCCAAACTACAGTCACCTTTTTCTTGGATTATTTTACCTTCCTGCTTCCAATTCTTCAGTTTATTTACCACATGAAGTGACCCTTTTACGGGCGAAAGAGTGAGATCTCTTCTAAATCTTTCATGCTTTTTTCTCAGAGTGAAAGCCAAAATCCTTAAAATGGACTGCAGGGATTGCTCATCAGGCCCCCATCTAGCTCTTTGTCTCATATTCCTCTTTTCCTCCACTACAACTTCAGCTACACTAGAATTTTTGCCGTCCTTCAACTTGAATATGCTCTTTTCTTGGCCTTTGTACTTGACCTTTGTTTTGTCTGCCAGAAACACTTTTTGTTTGGCTATCTGTATGGTTTGCTCCAGGATTCTGCTCAGCTATCCTTTTATAAGAGAGATGTAGGCTTTCTCTGAACACCCCAGATAAAGTATAAAGTAGCATCCCACCTCTGGTATTCTCTTTTACCTCATGTGTTACTGTTTTCTAAGGTACTTAACACCATCTAACATACATTTTCTTATTTATTTTCTTTCCACTAAAAATGAAAGTATCAGGGTACTTGGTATGTAGTAAATACTCACTAGGTTTGAATAAGTGAATGTGTAAATAAATACAAATAAACCCTAAAACAGGAAACAGTGATTAGGTCCACTAATACAATGTATATTAAGTCTTATGCAAATTCACATGGAGAGATTACCTCTAATAGTAGTAGACTACTTTTAATAAAACAGATAATTTGGGAAAGTTATAGTGGATGAGGTAACATTTGAATTGAGTCTTAGAGAATTGTTACTATTAAAATATAGGCATGAAAAAGGAAATGGTACGAGTAGGAGCACATTATAAGTAAAGCAGGTAATTTGTGAAAAGGTAGAATACATGGATTATTTATCAGTGTGGTAGGTAGTTCTCTAGAGCTGTGGTTCTTTTTTTTTAAATTAATTTATTTTGTTGTCATTAATCTAAAATTACATGAAGAATATTATGTTTACTAGGGTCCCCCCTTCACCAAATCCCCCCCACAAACCCCATTACAGTACTGTTCATCAGTGTAGTAAGATGCTGTAGAATCACTACTTGTCTTCTCTGTGTTGCGCAGCCCTCCCTGTGCCCCCCCCCCACA